CCAAGAGGTGGAGGTTGCAGTGAGCCAAGATTGCACCACTGTACTCCAGCCTGGGTGATAGAGTGAGACCCTGTCTGAAAAAAAAAATAAAAAAAACAAAAAAACTTGGCACGCTGGATGCAGGGGCTCATGCCTGTAATCTCAGCCATTTGGGAGGCTGAGGTGGCCATCCCCTGTGCCTACGAGGCTGACCTCTACTGACCCCATCAGCAAGCTCCCTTGCCTTTCAACTTCAAGGTGGGTTTGGCCAAAGGGAGGCACAGGCAGAATACTGGAGGGGGCTGGAGGATCCTCTCCTCCCTGCCTGCTGCCCACCTTGGGAGCCTCAATGCCATTAGCAGCCGCTCCTCCGTAATCTCAGTTCTCACTAAGGCCTTGGTCACACCATTCCTCCCCTTGTTCTTCCAGGACTCAGCAGAATCTGGCAGGAACCCTTTCTGCCTGTTGCTGGCACCTGAGATCCTTACCCTCCCTACATCCCTAACCCTGCTTGCACCTCTGCAAATGGTACCTTTATTAGACCGTCTGTTTAAGAAATCCCACTGGAGGGGGCTGTCTCTTTCAGGCTAGGACCTCGCTGACCTAGCACCATCATTGGCTTTTATCTTTATTCATTAAGAGCACTCCATTCTGCTAGGGGGCTTTGCAGGGCATGAGTCGAATAAGTCAAGGCCTGAAGCCCACTGAACACAATGCTTAGAAAGCTCAGGGGTGTACAAAAATTCATGCCTTATTCACCTTATTCATGCAAAGCCTCTCCAAAATAGTTAATGCGGTTTTAAATTTAAAATTAAAAAAAATATATATAAATATATATATACACACACATATATATATTTTGAGATGGAGTCTCGCTCTGTTGCCCAGGCTGGAGTGCAGTGGCGGGATCTCGGCTCAATGCAAGCTCCGCCTCCTGGGTTCACGCCATTCTCCTGCCTCAGCCTCCTGAGTAGCTGGGACTACAGGCGCTGGCCACAATGCCCAGCTAATTTTTTGTATTTTTAGTGGAGTCGGGGTTTCACCGTGTTAGCCAGGATGGTCTCGATCTCCTGACCTTGTGATCTGCCCATCTTGGCCTCCCAAAGTGCTGGGATTACAGGCATCCCTGTATATATGTGTGTGTGTGTGTGTGTGTGTGTGTGTGTGTGTGTGTGTATTTTTTTTTTTGAGATAAAGTTTCACTCTTGTCGCCCAGGTTGGAATGCAGTGGTGTAATCTCAGCTCACTACAACCTCTGCCTCCCAGGTTCAAGCGATCCTCCTGCCTCAGCATCCTGAGTAACTGGGATTACAGGCATCTGCCACCACGCCAGGCTGATTTTTATATTTTTAGTAGAGATGGGGTTTCGCCATGTTGACCAGGCTGGTCTCAAACTCCTGACCTCAGGTGATCCGCCCGTCTTGGACTCCCAAAGTGCTGCTGGGATTACAGGGATGAGCCACCGTGCCTGGCTGTATGCTAATTTAAAAAACTTTTATACAGGTGGGGTGTCACTATATTCCCCAGGCTGGTTTCAAACTCCTGGGCTCAATTGATCTTCCTGCCTCAGCTTCCCAAAGTGCTGGGATTACAGGTGTGAGCCACTGTGCTTGGCCTCAAGCTATCCTCTTGTCTCAGTCTCCCAAGTAGCTGGGGCTATAGGTGTATGCCACCATGCCCAGCTATTATTATTATTTTTTTTGTAGAGATGGGGTCTTGCTATGTTGTCCAGGTTAGTCTCAAATTCCTGGCCTCAAATAATCCTCCCACTTTGACCTCCTGAGTAGCTGGGACTACAGGCACATACCACCATAGCCAGCCTCAGTATATATTTATTTTTATTTATTTGTTTTGAGACAGAGTCTCACTCTGTTGCCCAGGCTGGAGTGCAGTGAGCCATCTCAGCTCACTGCAAGCTCTCCCGGGTTCACGCCATTCTCCTGCCTCAGCCTCCCGAATAGCTGGGACTACAGGCGCCTGCCACCAGGCCCAGCTAATTTTTTGTATTTTTAGTAGAGATGGGGTTTCACCACGTTAGCCAAGATGGTCTCCATCTCCTGACCTCGTGATCCGCCCGCCTTGGCTTTCCAAAGTGTTGGGATTACAGGCATGAGCCACCACACCTGGCCCTCAGTATGTATTTAAATGGAGTCTTGCTCTGTCACCCAGGCTGGAGTGCAGTGGCACGATCTCGGCTCACTGCAACCTCCGCATCCCAGGCTCAAGCAAGTCTCTGGCCTCAGCCTCCGGAGTGGCTGAGACTACAGGTGCACTCCACCATACCCAGCTAGCTAACTTTTTGTATTTTTAGTAGAGACAAGGTTTCACCATGTTGACTTCAAGTGATCTGCCTACCTCGGCCTCCCAAAGTGCTGCGATTACAGGCATGAGCCACTGTGCCTGGCCCTCAGTATATTTTTGAAAGAATAAATTAGTTTGTATCCCTTTCATTGACTGAACTCTTCTCATCTTCAAAGACTTCCCTCCCTGACTCTCTGTTTCCTAGACAAGGTCAGGTATGGTTACCCACTTTGAGATGTACTTTCCTTTTTTGTGCCATGTCCCTGGAGCTGTGCTTGGTGCTAATAATAGCAGCTGAAGACATTCCCTGAGCAAGGTTGGATGGGACGTGGCGCGGGAGGTGAGGAAGGGGCGTTCCGAGTCCTGGCTCAGGTGTCTCCGCCGTTTGTTCAGTCAGGCGGGCTCCTTACCCTCTCTGAGTCTCCTCAACCTCTTCTACAGGATGGGGATAATCTCAAAACCCACTCCACAGGGCCGTGGTGGGGACACAGCAGTGCGATGGTCTGTTTATGTGCCAACCTGGCTGGGCTACAGACCCCAGCTGCTCAATCAAACACCGAGACATGTCACTGTGGAAGGATTTTGTAGCTGTGACTGACGTCTCTAATCAGGTGACTGTGTTGTATATATTTAAGGTATACAACGTGATCTTTTGATATATATATACATAGTGAGATGATTACTACCGTCAAGCATATTAACATATCCGTCACATCTCGTAGTTACCTGTTTGTTGTTGTTGTTGTTCTAATCAGTTGACTTTAACTGAAGGAGATTAGTCTCAATAATGTAGGTGGGTCTGATGCAATCAGTTGAAAGGCCTTAAAAGCAGAATGGGGGTTTCCCGGGAAAAGAAAGAGTTTCGCTTCAGCTGCTGCTGGAGTTTCCAGCCTGCCTCTCCCGCCTGCCTGCCCTACAGACTTCAGACCTGCTGTCTTACTCGGTGTGGACTGCTGCGACAAAATGCCACAGACTGGGTGGTTTATAAATACAAGAAATTCATTTCTCACAGTCTGGGGAGCTGGGAAGTCCAAGATCCAGGCACTGGCATGTTCTGTGTCTGGTGAGGGCCGGCATCCTGGTTCACAGACGGTGCTTTATGCTGTGTCCTCACACGGTAGAAGAGGAAATGTCTGACCTCTTAGGCCTTGTTGTTGTTGTTGTTTTGTTTTTGAGGCAGGGTTTGGCTGTGTTGCCCAGGCTGGAGTGCAGTGGTGCAGCCTCCACCGCCCAGGCTCAAGTGATCCTCCCGCCTCGTCCTCGGAGTAGCTGGGACCACAGGCGTGTGCCACCATGTCTGGCTAATTTTTGTAGTTTTAATAGAGATGGGGTTTCACCATATTGCCCACATTGGTCTCAAACTCCTGAGCTAAAGTGATCCTCCTGCCTCAATCTCCCAAAGTGCTGGGATGACAGGCATGAGCCACCGTGCCCAGCCGTCTTAGGCCTCTTATAAGGGCATGAATCCCATTCATGAAGGTTCCACCTACATAACCTAATCACATCCCAAAAAGGCCTTAAGAGCAGAATGGAGGTTTCCCAGAAGAAATAAGAAGTCTTGGACTTCCCAGCTCCCCAAATTGTGAGAATTGAATTTCTTGTGTTTATAAGCTACGGTATGTTGTTGTGGTAGTCCACACTGAGGCCTCCAGATCCCATCACAGTGGGGGTGAAGTTTCAACATAAAAATGTTGGGAAGACACAGACATCCAGTCCCTAGCACCTGCCTAACCAGCTCTCAGAATCACATAACCCGCTTCCATGCAATAAGCCTTTGTATAAGGATCAGCTACTCATTCTGTTTCCCTGATGGATACAAACAAGAGGACCCATGTAATGTGCTTAGAACATGGCCTGGCACAGACACAGGCTGCCATCACCGTGCCCTTAACCCCGAGCTGGTTACCGAATAAACATTAACTCATCTATGCCTCACAGTGATCCACGGTCTGTTATACCCCCATTTTGCAGATGAAAGCTGGGGTTAGGGAACATGGGAGTGGCCCACACTCAGGGCCAGAGCTAGGATCTAAACACAGGTGGCTCAGCTCCATTGTCCAGGGGGCCACCACAGAAGTCCATGATCCCATGGCCCCCATCCTCTGCAATGTCCGCGGTTGGGGTAATCCCCACCTGGGAGAGGAAGGGAGCCCTATCCACAGCCATTCTCCAAACCTAGCAGGGTACAGGGCACACAGAGAGTTAACCATCTGTACATGGAATTGAGAGAGAGGGAGAAACAGAGACAGAGAGACTAGACTTTGAGGGTCAATGGGAGGGAGAGCCTAGACCTGCTCCTTGAGCCAGCAAAGCCTGGAGTGGCTGCATGGCCCCAGACAGTTCCCTTCCACAGTCTGCACTCTGGAATGGGGAGAAGAGAGCCTGATGTGATCCCGATGGGCCTTGCTCCTAGGAGCAGGCAGGAGAGGGCAGGAGCACCTCAGATCTGGCTTTGTCCCCAGGTTGTGAGATTCTGGAAGGACCCTCCCCTTTCTGAACTTCAACTTCTTTGTGGGTAAGGGCAGGGGGATAGCGTCTGCCTCAGAAGGTAGGAATGTAACCTTAGGCAGGCTTCTCAGCCTCTCTGGGCCTCAGTTTCCTCCTCTGTAAAATGAGCATGGTAATGGGACCGATTCCACAGGGTCTTTGGCTTAGGTGAATGAAGGCCTGTGAGGGCTTGGGCCACCCTCAGTCCTCAGTCCACCCTCAGGGGAAAGAGTTCAGCCCAATATCCACTTCTTGGGAGATGATTCCACTTTCCAATCTACTTTTATCTGTGGAGCGGCTGGGTCCCTGCTGCGCTCACCCCTCAGCCCACCCAGAGGGATGCCACAATTTTCCTGGTCAGCCTCCTGGTCCCCACGACCCTTCAAAGGTGGGGCATCAGGACTGAAGTCAAACTCAGGGACATTGTCACCACTGTGCGTGTCCTTCAGAGAGGGGAGGAAGCGGACCCCCATCAGTATCAGCTCCTCCCTCACTTCTGAGGGTGAGCAAGGCCTGTTTGCAAGGAGCTTCACCCAGGCCCAGCCTGTGGTCCCTTGCCTGGCACCGTTCTCACCGTCATCCGCCTCCTGCCCTACAAATGCTGCTTGCTCTGCCCTTGCTGGAGTGGTCTGACCCCCAGTGCCATGCCTCCTGCCTTCAATCTTGCAGCTTTCTGTGCCTGGCGGTGCCATCACCTCTCCCTGCATGCCTGCTGGGCTCAGGTAGCAACACTCAGCTCCCCAAGCGGGGTCAAGCCCTCCCTCCCTCAATGCCAGCTCCTCCTCCCCCCCTCCCCTCTCCCCATGCTTCTTGGGTCACAGCCCTGGCCCTGCTCGAAGGGGTGTAGCAACCTGGAGGTCCTTATGGGTAGGACCTGGGTCTGACTCCTCTTTGTCCCCAGCCCAGCGCCTGGCACATGGGAGGCCTCCGGGGATTTGTGGTCACGTGAGTGAACACCTGGAATGTTTTTCTCTACCTAGAAACCCCTCCTTACTCTTCCACACCCAAGCTTCCTCCCAGAACCTGGGGATTCTGGTTGCCCTGGGCAAAGCGTCTGCGTTCTGAATAGCCTCGCCTGCTGTGGGCAGGAAGTGTGTTCAGGGAGCGAAGTCCCCTCCACATCTCTGCCTCTGATCCGAGTTTGCAAATGGGAGGCCTCATAGGGGCTTTTCTTTGACCCACGGCGGCGCTGCCTTTTAAAAACATGTTCTCAATTGCTGATGTGCTGGAATCAAGACATTTCACACTGAAATCGAGATCTCTGGATTCTCCTCAAAAAACAAACAAAAATATGAAGAGCTAGCTGTAGTCACCCCGTGTTCCTGACCTGTGGGGAGCGGGTAGGGAGGAGTTGGAGAGGGTTCCGCCATGGCGAGCCGCCGCCTTCAGGACGCGCAGTTGCTTTCAAGGCCGACGAGGCCCCCATTAGGCCAACTGTGCCCCTCTTGTTCCCTGCCTGGTGGCTGTGAGCATTTGAGTTTGCATCCTCTGCACTAGAGTCTCATAAAGTCAGGAGAAAATGTCCAGGACAGGGTCAGCTGCTGCAGTGGGGGGCAAGGGTCCCGGGTTCAGGAGTCCTGAGCAGCGCGCAGCCTTGCAGTGTGGCCCGAGGCACGGTGAGCCTCAGTTTCTCTGTCTGCATCCAGATGTGCAGGGGCTGGGGCCTCATGGTTCCCAGTGCCCCTGTGGATGTGTTTTTGGGGGTTCCTCAGGGTTTCAAGCCACCTTCCCATCGTGCTGAGCATGCTTCAGTTTCTCTCTCTGAAGAAGGCTGAGGCTGGGTTGGATCCACTCTGGGCTCACAGCGGCCCCTGTGGGTGGCAGCAGCCTGTTTCCTGGTGCTGATGCCTGGCGTGTCCCTGTGTGTTTTGTTTCTGCTCCTGTCAGCCTGGCTGCTGGGGTGGCGTGTCCCTCGGGCAGGTGTCAGGTGTTAGGCGCGTTCCCTACATTGGTTAACATGAGGGCTGGCGCTGGGGAGGCCCCGGGGCATGTTCCCCGAGGAAATGGGAGGAAAGGGGTGAGAGCCGGGCGTCGGCTTCCGGGTCTGGAGTGTGGGATGGAGTCGCTGTCTGCGTCGGCAGGTCTGCGCAGCTCTGCCTGGGCCAGGTTTCCACGTCCCGGGCCGAGTGCCGTGATCCGTCTCGGAGTCTACACTCTTCCGTCTCTCCAGATCCCTAGACTTCGGGAGAACCAGACTCGGCTGCTCCGCTGCATCCGGCAAGCCCAGTCCCCTCTCTGAGTACCCAACACCGGGGATTCCAAGCAGCCTCTTTAAGCCTCTGTTATGGGCGGAAACGTGAATCCACCCCACCCCCCATCATTCATATGTTGCCATCCTAACCCCCAGGGACTCAGAATGTGACTGTATGGGAGACAGGGTCTTCACATAGGTGATTAAGGTTAAATGACGTCACATGGTGGGCCTGAGTTCAATGCCTGGTGTCCTTACAAGGGAAGGAAATTAGGACCTAGGCACACGCAGAGGGACGACCCTGTGGGGACACGGGGAGAAGACAGCATCTGTGGGCCAAGGAGAGAGGCCTCAGAAGGAAGCTTGGCTGTTGGCACCTTGACCTGGGAGTTCCAGTCTCCAGAGGGGGAGAAAATCAATATCTGCCGTTCAAGCCAGCCAGTCTGTGGCACTTTGTTTTGGCAAATGTAGCATCTGGTGTGTGGGGGCGAGGGGGCCTGGGACTCTCCATCCAGAACAAGTGCCTCCCGGTGGTTCTGCCAGGGGATGGGCTTGGAGACCCTGGCCTGCGGCCCCGTTATCTGATGACCTGCCTGTGACTGTCCCAGGGACTTACCTCCAGCCCGGTCTGGTGAGATGTCAGCTTCAGGCATTCTGGGTACTTCTGGTTCCTCCAGCAGCTCTGGTTTCTTAAGGGTCAGGCCTTCTTTGGTCTTGGGACTCTGATGTTCCTCCCACCAGTTAAGCATCTTCATTCTAAGGCAGGAAGCCCCGTGGTGAATGCTGTGCTCAGTCCCTGCCCAGTCCAGTTCCGAGAAGGAGCCCTGGGCTGGGCCCAGAACACCAGCTTCCTCCGATTGCCGGTTCTGTGACCAGCGCAGCCCCACCCCACCCCATCAAGTGGGGATAAGAACCTCTATTCTCTTGGTGTGCACCCTATCCCAAGCCTCTTTCTGGGCCTCCTGGAATTCACTCTGTCCCCCAGAGCTGCCCAGCTCCTCTCCTGCTCACAGACCTCCCATGGCTCCCCAGTTCCTCCAGGACACAGCCCAGCCCTTCAGCCTGGTGGCCCTTCATATCTGGTCCATTCCTGCTTCTCTTGCTGCCCTGTGATGTCTCCATATACACTTTTTAGTTTTGGACAGGTCTTTTTTTTGCACCTTTCTTCCTCCTTCTAATATTTCTGGCTCACGTCTGCATGTCCATGCCCGGCACACCGCCTTGGTCTTTCTGACAGCTGTGTTGTTCTGTTGTGTGGATGTCCCATGGATTATATAACTGGTCCCCTTCCTTTCTTGCTCTGGCAGCTTCAGGGGACGCCTGCTGGTCCCTGGCTGGCGGCTCTGTCTTTCTGCCCCACGTCCCCTGCAGAGCAGCCTGAGCCAACTTTAAAGACCAGATCTGTTCCTCCCCAGATGGAGATCCTTCCATTGTTTCTTTCTGCATTCAGACAATAAGATTCAAACGTCCATTTCCTGTCTGAAAACACTCGCTCTACAAAAACATCCGAAAATACCGATGGGGCTGAGGTTGTAAGGACGTCGGGGACTGAAGATCAGAGGCCGCGCATCAACTGAGGGCCGGCTGCACACCGCTGGGTCGCAGGGGAAGGGGGGCTCGCTGTTATAATAACCAAGGGACTTGGTTTAAATGGTCCGGTGACAGCAGACAACAAGGCCTTGGGTCCATACTAAGTAGGGACCTGGATATGACACCCCCACATCAAGGGAGCACTAGAAAAAAAATCTAGTCATTGGTCAAGGGAATGACAAGGAAGCATGTCTATTTCAGCCTGGGCTTTGGGTTGCAAAAAACCTTTTTTTATTTCTCTTAGAAGCTGAGGCCACCATTTACAGAGATTTGCATCAGAGAGCAACAAAGTGAGCAATGAGCACAAATAGTGCCCAGCTTATTATGCTGTTGGGCAACTCACACAAAACTCATTTTGGAGGGACTCGCCCACCACATTGTCCACATACGATTTTCGCAGGTAAAGAACCCACTGAAGAGCAGTTCACCTTCCAGGATGACCAAGCATGAGAGGAAACAGCCCTCCACAAGGAAGATGAAGCCCAAACTTCTCACCAGAGCCCTTGAGGCTCTGCCCACAGGTTGGCCTCTCTCAAGCTCTCCCTAAGCTCTCAGCTCACCCGGCCCTGCTGGACTCTTGGACTCCTAAACCTCTGCAATCTCGGCCTAGAACTGCGGCTCCCTGGGTCTGCGCATACTCCTTTAGGTCTCAGAGCAAGTACCTAACAGCTGCTTCCCATCCCCTCCCCTTGCCAAACTCTCTCCCAGCTCCCCGTTTTCCTCCAGGCACTTCCCAACATTTATCCCTACACATCTGTATATGTCCTCCTTCGGTATCCACCTCCCTGAGGCCTGGTTTGCTCTAGGATATTGTCAGAGGTATGTGAACCAGAGCAACTCCATCTTGAATAGCAGCTGGGTAAAATACGGCTGAGACCTACTCGGCTGCATTCCCAGACAGTGAAGGCATTCTACGTCACAGGAAGAGATAGGAGGTCATAAAGACCTTGCTGATAAAACAGGTTGCGGTAAAGAAGCCAACCAAATCCCACCAAAACCAAGATGGCGACGAGAGTGACCTCTGGTCATCCTCACTGCTACACCCCCACCAGCGCCATGGCAGGTTACAGATGTCATGGCTACAACGGGAAGTTACCGTATATGGTCTAAAAAGGGGAGGCATGAATAATCCACCCCTTGTTTAGCATGTCATCAAGAAATAACCATAAAAACGGGCAACCGGCAGGCCTCGGGGTTGCTCTGTCTATGGAGTAGTCATTCTTTTATTCCTTTACTTTCCTAATAAACTTGCTTTCACTTTACAGACTCGCCCTGAATTCCTTCTTGTGCGAGATCCAAGAACTCTCTCTTGGGGTCTGGATCCGGACCCCTTTCCTATAACAGTATGACCTGGCATGTAGAATATGCTCAGTAAATTTCTGTTGAGTGAATGTGTGGAGAAAGGCTTTTGCTCACACATCTCCGTTGCATTCGTGTGCAGCATGTGCACTGTTATAAAGGCCATTTGCATGTTTTGCATACTCTGAAAAATTATGAATGAGGCCAAAGTATACCAATCCAGACATGCAGGAAAATAGCAAAATATTGAAACAGCCTTGTGAGATGGTTTGAATTCAAGATTATTATTGCAACTTATTGTTTCTTTTCTTTTTTTGAGAGACAAGGTCCAACTGTGCCATCCAGGCTGAAGTGCAGTGGTGTGATCACAGCTCTTTGCAGCCTCTACCTCCTGGGCTCAAGCCATCTTCCCGCTTCAGCCTCCTGAGCAGCTGGGACTAGATGCATGCGCCACCGTGCTCAGCTAATTTTTGTATTTTTTTGGTAGAGATGGGGTCTCATTATGTTTCCCAGGCTGGTCTCAAACTCCTGGGCTCAAGCGATCCTCCTGCCTTGGGCTCCCAAAGTGCTAGGAATACAGGCTTGAGTCAATGCATTCGGCCTCATTTTTTTTTTTTTTTTTTTTTTTTTTTTTAAGATAGAGTCTTGCTCTGTTGCCCAGGCTGGAGTGCAGTGGCACAAACTTGGCTTACTTCAACCTCCACCTCCCGGGTTCAAGCGATTCTCCTGTCCCAGGCTACTAAGTAGCTGGGATTACAGGCACATGCCACCACGCCTGGCTAATTTTTGTATTTTTAGTAGAGACGGGGTTTCACCATGTTGGCCAAGATGGTCTCGAACTCTTGACCTCATGATTTGCCCGCCTCGGCCTCCCAAAGTGTTGGGATTACAAGCATGAGCCACCGTGTCCGGCTGCCATTTTGTTTTATTGTAGGTTTTCCTCCCATTTACAACCCGCTGCTATGCTTGTACTAGATTTGCTTGGACACACTGTGAGTCTCCTTCTGCCCTCCCAAGGCCCCCAATGTCTGCCTCCTGAGGGAACTTGGCACAGCTCAGCTCCAGAGCCACCAGCCCACCTGCAGGGGACACCTCCACACCTGTGGCTCAATCTACTGCCCCCATGCCTTCTGCTTCGCCCTCTGGCTGGGGCGCCACCACCACACTCTCCTGTCCTGGACTCTCCACCCATCTTCTGCTGTGTTTGGCCCTTCCTACCTCCTGCACCCCACTCTTCCCAGATCCCTTCCTTCTCCTTCCCCAGGACACCACCTCGGAAGCCTTCTCCCCACTGAGAGCGACCCTGCCTCTGGCCTGATTCTCCAGGAGGCCTGGAGCCCACATCTGTGTTCTTCTGTTTTAGAACCCTCATCCTCTGAAGAAAGAGTCTCCTTCTGCTACTTTGAGCCTCTGGCTATTGGGCCAGAACATTCCCTTCCTCTCCTCATTTCTGTCACTGGCAACCCCCTAGGCCAGGCCTCTGTATTCCCAGAGGATTTTTATGCTTGACTCTCGTCTTTTTGGTCGTCACCAAATGCCTGGTTTGTGAATGAAAGCATTTTGGACTCTCCATACTAGCCCAATTCAAGTGACCTCAAGTGACACCACAGGGGGCATCCAGCTGGGCCCTGCCCAAATTCCTAATCTAGGAAATCATGAAAAATACTAAAATGATTATTGTTTGAAGCCACTGTATTTTGGGGGATTGCTATGGTCTGAATGTTTATATCCTCTGCTCAAATTCACATGTTGAAATTCTAACCCTCAAGGTGACTGTATTTGGATGTGGGGCCTTTGGAGGTGATTAGTTCATAAGGATGGAACCCTCCTGAATGAGACAAGAGCCTTTATAAAAGAGACCTCAGCGAGACCCCCTAGTCCCTTCCACCAAGTGGGGACACCGTGAGAAGATGTCATGTATAAGGAAGAGAGCCCTCACCAGACATTGAACCTGCTGGCGCCCAGGCCTTGGACTTCCTAGCTTCCAGAACTGTGATAAATAAATCTCTGTTGTGCACAAAACGCCCAATCTATGGCATTTTGTGGTAGCCGCCCAGATAGACTAAGACAGGGGTAGAGACATAGCAACAGATGATCAGAACTGTTACCTTTCTCTTTGAGCTGGTTGAGTTCAGCCCTTATAACTCACAACTGGAAGAGACCCGATGAATGCAACTGTTTCCTGTAACTACCAAGGGTTCATTATCTCCCAAAAACTTTTCCACTTATGAAAATGCAAATTCCAATACTTCATGATCTGCCTAGTTCTTCTATCCATCCCGTATTTTTGTGCTCCCCTTCCAACTGTTCCCATTATATGATATCACAAGTGGAAGCTTCAATCCCAAGACACTATATTTTCTAGAGTCTATGGAGACTCTCTCAGTTTCTCTTCCTTTCCTTCCCTCCCCACCCCACTAGGTACAATGGCTCCTCAGTTAAAATGCTCTTTCCTTCCAGCCTCCTCGCTTCCCCATCTCCCACCTCCCCACTCCATCACCCTTCCTAGCATCTTGTCCATGAATACTCAAACCTAGCCCAATGCCATCATCTACTCCTTTTTTTCTGCTATAGTCTGAATGTTTGTGTTCCTCCAAAATTCTTCTGTTAAAACAACATCTCCAGTGCTTTGGTATTTGGAGCTGGGGCCTTTGGGGAGTGATTAGGTCAGGAGTGTGTAGCCCTCATGAATGGGATTACAGTGCCCTTATAAAAAGACCCCAGATAATTCCCGTTCCCTGTACACCATGTGAGGACACAACCAGAAGGTGCCGTCTGTGAACCAGGAAGCAGGCCCTCCCCAGACACCGAATCTTCTGGTGCCTTGATCCTGCACTTCCCAGCTTTCAGAACTGTGAGAAGTAAAT